ATGCGTGACCTGTCCGCGGCCACGCTTACACAGACTAACGCTGTCAAGGCAAAGGAGCTGCTGACAACGGAGTACAGGCGGGTGTCCCGACAGACATCGCAGGCGATGATCTCTGCGTGGAAGCGCCGTCTGCAATCGTCGACGCGGGCTTCGTACCAGTGGGTCAGCGGATCTGGGCCTACAGTCAAAGGAGCAATGCTCATTCCGAATGGATCTTTCACGGCTGACCGGCAGGAGCAGTTTGACGTTGTCTTGAAGATTTGGTTGTTTTTCTTTCACAAGTTTAAGGATCAGAAAGAAGACGTCGAGGGCTTCATGGGCATGTTTCGGACACACATATCCGAAGGGCGCCTATGCAGCTACGGGCCCTGAGCTTGCAGTCCCTGGCTCGCGCGGCAGCAGAGATACAGCGGTCTTCTGGCAGCCTTGATTGACCAATGGCGGCCTGAGGAACTGCAGGCTCTTGCGTGGTGGTGCCTGCAGGTGTGCACTTGCTCTTATCCTCAACCACGTGGAGGAGACGCGTCACTGACCGAGGCCCCTGCTCCAGGCCTACGTGGTGCTGGTGCCAAAGGACGAGTCCATCGCGGAGTCCGTGCCCACCGATGGCCGACCCATTACTGTACTCAGCGCGGTGTACAGGCTGCGGTCCAAGGTCCGCTTCGAGGACGCGCTCGCCCGGCAAGAAAAGTGGTGCCCTGAAAAAATGTGGCGGTGTTTAGGTGTGGGCGGAGACCATGGCAGTGGCGATCGCTCTTGATATGGAGTCGGTTGCACATGGTCACGGCAAATCGGTTGGTGGGGTATCGTACGACTTCAAAAAAGCTTTCGACCTGATCCCGATATCCACTATGCTCACGGTCCTGGAAGCCAGGGGAAAGCGCTTCCGCATTATGACGCTTCCCAGAGCGCTTTACGACGGGATGCGGAGAGTTGTTCGGCTGCATGGTACGATTGGTGAGTAGTTTTTTTTTTTTTTTTTTTTTTTTTTTTTTTTTTTTTTTTTTTTTTTTTTTTTTTTTTTTTTTTTTTTTTTTTTTTTATATATATATATATATATATATATTATATAATATATATATATATATATATATATTATATATTTTTTTTTTAATCAGTGGCACGATGCAAGATAATGCGTTATCTATGCTTATGCTCAATAGTCTGGTGTCTTGCATGCTCGAAACGGCTGGCGCGGGCTCTGCCGACGCCGCGACCGAACGATCTTACGCAGACGACATTTCGTCGGTGGCCACGGGGGAGGTGGAGGAGCAGGTGCGGCAGCAGGTCAGGTACTTCCACTGGGTGGTGCAGCCTGCGAGTCGGAAGGAGGCGGCGAGGTCAATGTGGCCAAATGTTTCACATCTGGGAATTATTGTATTTCTGGCGTGGCTGGAGAGAAGGTCAAGCACCTGGGCGCCTTCAAAATCGTCGGAAGATCTTTTGTACAGCGCGAGGGCGCCAATGCCGTTGCAGATTTGGAGCAGCAGCGCTTGAACATGTGGAAACACACTATTGGGCGGATCCGCCACGCGCCACGTGCCACGCTCTTGGAAAGAACGGTCTGCGATGCTGCGTGCGACGCAAGCTCCGGATTTGTTCTGCCGAGGCACGCGTTCGCTGTGCGCCGACGTATCGGAACTGCGGAAGAGGAGAACCGCATTGATACAGTCCCTTTGGACTGCTGGTTTCTTATCGCTCAGTCCGCTAGTCACTTTCAGCTTATTTGCCCCTTTGCAGCTGGATCCAGAACCTGCGGCAGCGCACGAAAAGGCCACGCTCAGTGCTGGGGGCTATGAGACACGCGGGGGTTGCGCTGAGCATCCCGGACCGCAGCTCACAGGCGCCCTCTGTGCGCCGGGATGGCCCAACGATGCGCCAGCGATTGCTTGGTCGCTCCCTGGTGTTCGGCAGGGCTGTGTCTCGAATGCTGGGCCGCGGCTTCGCTGGCAACAAGGGCGGGGGCGGCGCGGAGGAGGGCAAGGAGGGGGGATGGCTGCGCGATCTTCGGCAGGCGTGGAGGGGCCATCTGTGTCGGGAGTTGGTCAAGCAGCGCCCAGACCGCTGCGCCGGGGCGGAGGGCGTGGACCGACGGCGCGCAATGGCTCTCCACGATGCCCTGCCGGCTGTTGCCGACGGCCGGGGTGAGCCGCCACCCCAGGATGATTACGACGTGTGGAGCACATTGCAGGCCGACCTGGAGGATGATGATGCCACAATGGCCACGGTTGAGGCCAGGTTATTTGCTGGGGGCCTTCTCACGAACGAGAGGGTTGCGAGGCATCGCAAGAATGGGGGATCCAAGGAATGCCTTCGTCGAGCCCCGGAGGCTACAATCTTGCATGTATTTTGGGGTGTCCGAGATGCGCCGACAGGGGACGGGCACGGATGCAGATCTTGCCGCGGCAGCTGCGGCTAGCATCATGTACCCGCTACGCGGGCATCATCCCCACCAGCAGGCCTCGTACCACAGAGCAGGCCAGCGGCATTCAGGGATTCTTCGTGCAGGAGTGGAGGGGCGAGATTCGCGTGTCCCACGCCGCGGAGGACGTCGTGGACGCCGCGCAGCAGGCCGGCAGCAGGGGGTCGACCCACGTGGTGGAAGAAAACTGTTATTCTTTGGATAAACAGGTTAACAAGGAGGGCATGTGGCGCAGGAGATGTGGACTTTGCGTGGCCCGGCTGCAGAACATTCGTTCGAAAATCACATCAAAGCCGTGCCCGTTCAAGTTCAAGGACCTGCCACGGGGGCGGTGGTTCGCGGTGGAAGGCGCGAGCATAGCAAGCGCAAGGCTCGACGCCGCAGAGGCCGAGCTGAATGCCAAGTATAATGCGGGTGATCATGTGCTGTCATGGAACAGGAATCTCGGCAAGATCGCCGGGGCCCCTGACGAGGGTCTCATCGCGTGCAATGTGTGCCACAAACAGTGGAGGCGGCGAGACCGAATGAACGATTTGCCACGGACCTCGTGCAACCCAGCAACAGCAGGAGGCCGCAACAGCCAGGCAACGCCACCAACAGCGGCAGCGCCAGCGCCAGCACCAGTACCAGCCTTACCACCACCAGCATTAGCACCAGGGAGAGATGGGCGAGGAGGTGGAGGCCGAGGAGGAGGAGGAGGAGGAGGAGGAGGAGGAGGAGTGCATGCCAAAGGGGGCTGGACAGCGGCGGGCAGCGCAGCAGCGTCGGCGGCGCCACCGCTGCAGTCTGCGGCCCCGCCAGCACAGGCTGGGGCAGGCAAGGGAACTCGAGGAGGAGGCAAGGGAGGCGGAGGAGGAGGCATGGGCGCCAAGTGCGCCTCAGGGGCAGGTGGAGGAGGAAAAGGAGGCAGAGGTGGCAGAGGAGGAGGAGGAGGAGGAGGAGGAGGAGGAGGAGGAGGAGGAGGAGGCGGAGGAAGAGGAGGAGGAGGAGGAGGAGGAGGAGGAGGAGGAGGAGGAGGAGGAGGAGGAGGAGGAGGAGGAGGAGGAGGAGGGGGCAGCAGAGGCGGAACCAAAGGTGGTGGCCAAGGTGGAGGAGGCGGAGGAGGGGCAGCAGCAGCGCCAGCATTGCAGCCAGTAGGGAGGAGGGGGCGTGGATTCAAATCCCCAGGAGAGGCGAGGGCTGATCGTGCCGGCCTGGAGCTGGCCGGCTGCGAGCCGGTCTGCTCAGGCAAGCACCAGGTTCTCTGAGCCTGTAAGTTCGTTAACGCATAACCCTGGACGCCTTTGTCGTCTTTGGTGCCACGCTTCTGTCTCTCGTGGCCCTCCGGTTTGTAGGATTATTTCCACGTGCCACCTTCTCCGCCGAGCCTCTGGTGGAGCTGGGCACGCACTTGTTCACTTCCAGGGGCTGCGTGTTCTGAATGAACCGTACAGCCCAATACGCAGGCTGCACTGCTGTAAATTAGGCGCAAAAATTCCGAGTGGTAATTAAGGGAAGAGGGACGATCCTGTGGGAGAGGGCTTGCATAGGGTCCACTGGCTACAGATGTCTAGGCGATCTGCAGAGGCAGCAGCAATTGACTGCAGTTGTCGCTTGCGTCTCGCGAATATTTTCGCGGGCCACGCTTGGGAATCGTCACAACGCAAGGCCATGAGCATCTCTGAGCCTGCAGGCTTGTTAACGCATAAGTTCGGACGCTTTTGTCCTTATTGGTGCCACGCTTATGTCTGTCGTGGCCTTCCGCTTTGTTGCCTTACTTCCACGTGCCACCTTCTCCGTCGAGCCTCAGGTGAAGCTGGGAACGCGGGTACCTTCCCAAGTGGCTACGTGTTTTGGATGATTCGTGCAGTGTTTCGACGGCGGAAAAAGAGGTACGACGCCTTTCTTTCAACGGTGTGTGCGATCGAGTAGGGTCCCTGCGCGTTGGAGGTTCGGTATTCTTGTCTCTTTTTTTTTTTTTTTCTCTCTCTCTCTCTTTCTTGTGCAACATTCGGTGCAACCCTTCCCGGCGCGTGCCACTACCCCAGACAAATGACAGTCTGATCACGTGTTTGGTGCTTTGGCACTCGGCGCTCTGTCGCCCTGGCCCGCCCTCTTCCTATCTGTCCGCCCTGGCCTTGGCACCGGCCCCCTACCCATCTTTCCGCCCGCAGCCCCGCCAGACTCTTTTCTCCTTTACTGTTCGGCGGCGTGCGCAAGGGTGGTGGTGCGAGAGGGGTGATCCTTCTAAGAAGGCAGTGGGGGGCTTCTCAGAGGCCCTCTTGCCTTCCAGAAGCCTCCGATCCCCCTTGTCTGAGATCCCCCATGGCCTCTTTGGAAGCCCCGCCCACCCCCCACAACCCGCCCTCTCACGCGAGAAGCCGCCACGAGGGCGCCAAGCCATCTGCGGCCCGCGGCTCGCGGCGCGCGATTCCTCCTTCGCATCCTCCTCGTTCTTCTCTTCTCCCCTACGGGGGGGGTGGAGCAGGACCGCCCCGCGCCTGCTTCTGCGTCGCACCCCGCCCGCCGCGATCCCTCGGGTGGGTGGGTGGGGTGTCTTTGGACGTCTGGGGGGCCCCGCGAGGTCGCCCATCTTTCTGTGCTTGCCATGGCGCCCATCGGAGCGCGGCATCGCCAGCGGCGGCGCAAAGAGCACGAAGCTGCTTGTGCTCCACGCCCCGCGCAGCGCGCCAGCGCGAATGCGGCCGCCCCCGTCCCGCGTGCCGCCGCCAGGCTGCTCGGCTGCGCGCCCCCCCTCCCCCCCCTCGACCCCTTCCCCCTGCAAGCCCCCCCCCCCCCCTCGAGCCCTCCCCTCCTCGAGCCCCCGAGCCCCTTCCCCCCCCCCCCTCGAGCCCCCCCCCCCGAGCCCCCCCTCGAGCCCCCTCCCCCAGAGACCCCCCCTGCGCCTCGTGGCCGCGACGTCCGGCGCTCCCTCGCCCTGGCGCTCCTTCGCCCCCGCCCCTCCGCCCGC